CGACTACTGAGTACGTACTACAAATTTTATTAAAGTTCACATACACGCTCTACATCATTTTTATTCGATAAAAATTCATTTAGAATACTAAACAATATAAAGCGACATGAAACTTAACATTTATTTCTTGTTTCAGATAAACGTTGCAAATGCCGTATATTGATTTATACTCCAAATTACACACATGTACAAACAAGCATGATGCTAATGCAGTGTTTTAGCAAAAACATTACAATGTAACACCGAGGGTGTTACAACCGGCAATGAGCACAAGGCAACCCAGATGACACTTGCAACAATCATGCGGCAAGTCCGGACACTAGGTGAAGGATCGCCGCCTTCCTCCACGTCATCGCGGTGGGTAGGCTCTCATCACGCAAGCGGGGGAGGAGGATGTTTTCTATTCTAGTGCACGGTGCATCGACTCGTGGCGAAAGTAGAGGAGGGGTGAAATTTCCAAGCTTTCCCCTTTCCGGTGTCGGTGGCTCCGCACATCTCCACCTCGACGAACTAATCTACGCCCGCCTTTCTCGGCAAAAGGCGCGAGATGATGACAAGATGGACGACAGGTACCTTGACACCGATGCCACGCACCACATGACTGGTCGGCGTGAGTTCTTCTCCGACCTGGACTATGGCGTGAAGGGCTATGTCAAGTTCAGTGACGCCTCCGCCATCGAGATCAAGGGAGTCGGCTCGATCATCTTCAAGGCCAAGACAGGGGAGCACCGCCTCCTCATCGGCGTGGACTACATCTTGGCCTTGAGGAACTCCATCATCAGCGTCAGGCAGTTGGATGAGAATGGCTCGCAGGTGGAGATCGAGGATGGTGTGTTGCGCATCTGGGATAGAAGCTGCCGCCTTCTCACCAAGGTGAACCGGGGAAGCAACTGCCTTTACGTGCTTCATGTGAAGGTGGCGCACCCCCTTTGCCTTGCCGTGCGCTGGGACGATGAGGCGTGCTGCTGGCACGAGCACTTCGGGCATCTTCACTTTGATGACCTAAAGCAGCTTGGCAACGAGGAGATGGTCTGTGGCATGCCCTTCGTCGACCACGTCGAGCAGCTCTGCGACACCTGTGTGGTGACCAAGCTGAAGCGCCAGCCCTTCCCACGTCAAGCCTCCTACCGCACCACCGAGCAGCTCGAGCTGGTGCACGGCGAACTCTGCGGTCCAATGTCACCGGCCACTCCTGGAGGTCGGCGCTACTTCCTACTGCTCGTCGACAACGCCACCCGCTATATGTGGGTCGTGCTGCTCGATTTCAAGGCGATAGTTGTAGACGCCATCAAGCGCCATCAGGCAGCCATAGAGAAGGAGTGCGGCCACAAGCTCTAGGTGCTCCGCACGGACAACGACGAGGAGTTCATGGCGGCTGAGTTCACGGCGTACTACACCAACGAGGGGATTCAACACCACTACTCTGTGCCCTACTCACCACAGTAGAATGGCGTGGTCGAATGCCGCAATCAAACGGTGGTGGCAGTGGCACGCACCCTCCTCAAGCAGCGTAGTATGCCGACGGTCAATAGGGGGAGGCCATGATGATCATTGTACACCTGCTCAACCGCTCATCGACCAGTGCTCTCGATGGCAAGACACCGTATGAGGCCTGGCATGGGCACAAGCCGGCGGTAAGCTACCTACGCGTCATTGGCTGCCTCGCCTACATTAAGGAGCTGAACCACGTCGGCAAGCTCAACGATCGCTGCTTGCCAAGGGTCTTCATCAGCTATGCAGGGGGGCTAAGGCCTACAGCGTGCTTGACCCAGCGACACAACGCATGCGTGTGGCGCGCGACATCGTGTTCGATGAAGGACATGGCTGGGCATGGGACAAGGCAGTGGATGATGGGTCGGCGGCCATGCTCTGTGACTTCACCGTTGAGTATGCATGGGCGGGAGGTGCTGAGGGAGCACAAGGTGCATCCTCATCGATGTCTAGGTCTTCATCACCAGTGCCGACCTCTTCATCAGCTCCGCCACGCTTGCCATCACCACATCCGGGGGAGCTCGGTAGCCCATCAGCGGTGGTCGGTAGCCCATTAGCAGTGATTAGAAGCTCATTGGCAGCAGCGCCGACCTCTCCAGCACCATAGCCGACTTCTCTGGCGCACCAGCCGACCACTCTGGTATCTTCTACTTCGCCCGCTATGACACCAGGGCACGCAGGGCAGCCGGAGGTCGAGTACGCGATGCCGCTAAAGGATGATGAAGACCGCTTGGATGCCTACTACGACGATGAGCCCCTCCAGTATCGCACGGTGGCGAACATCCTCGGAGAGCAGTCTCCATCGGACTAGCCTAAGAGGCTCTTCACCCAGCTACATCTGATGCACGCCGGTGAGCTGAACACTTATGCTGAGGCACAGGGTGATCCGGCGTGGCGGGCGGCAATGGAGCAGGAGCTCAAGTCCGTCGAGCAAAACCACACCTGGGAGCTGGTGCCACCGCCTGACGGCCACCGCCCCATCACCCTGAAGTGGGTGTTCAAGCTCAAGAAGGACGAGTTGGGCACGGTGATCAAGCACATGGCGCGGCTGGTAGCGCGCAGCTTCGTCCAGCAAGAGGGGATCGACTACGACGACGCTTTCGTCCCCATGGCAATCATGGAGTCAGTTCGTGTCCTCCTCGTGCTGGCGGCTCAAGAGGGGTGGCAAGTCCATCACATGGACGTGAAGTCCACCTTTCTCAACGGTGACCTCAAGGAGGAGGTCTACGTGCGCTAGCCACCTGGCTACGCCGTCACCAGAGAAGAGGGGAAGGTGTACCGCCTGCGCAAGACACTCTATGGTCTGCGCTAGGCATCGCACGCCTGGAACGCGAAGATCGGCGCCACGCTCAAGAAAATGGGTTTCAAGCAGAGTGCACATGAGGCGGCGGTGCACCGGCAGGGCAGCAGACGCAACGTCTTACTGGTCAACGTCTACGTCGACGACCTCATTATCACCGGCACTGAAGAGTAGATGGTGGAGGTATTCAAGGCGCAGATGAAGAAAGCGTTCGACATGAGCGACCTCGGCCTCCTCTGTTTCTACCTTGGAGTCGAAGTGCGCCAGGACGCCAGCGGGATCGCCCTCTACCAATCCCACAACGCCAAGCGCATCCTCGAGCTCGGCGGCATGACTGGTTGCAATCTGGCCCACACCCTGATACAGGAGGTCGATCCAACCCATTACCGGCGGCTAATCGGGAGCTTGTGCTACCTGGTCCATACTCGGTCGGACATCGCATTCGCCGTCAGGTACATGAGCCGGTTCAAGGAGCGGCCGACGATGGAGCATCTGCAGGCCGTCAAGCAAATCCTACGCTATGTGGCAGGCACCCTCGACTACGGTCTCCACTACGAAAGGACCCCCGATACGGTGCGGTTCGTCGGCTACTGCGACAACGACCTCGCTGGCGATGTGGACACCAGCAAGAGCACAACTGGGACGATATTCTTCCTCGTTGATTGCTTGGTCAGCTGACAGTCACTCAAGCAGAAGGTGGTGGCCCTCTCAAGCTGTGAAGTGGAGTACATTGCTACCACCACTGCAACAACTTAGGCGCTATGGCTGTCAAGGATGCTGGTAGAGCTGCTTGGCAAGAAGGTGGATGTGGTTGAGCTGAAGGTGGACAACAAGTCTGCTCTAGCTCTGGCCAAGAACCCTGTTCTTCCACGAAAAAAGCAAGCACATCCGCATCAAGTATCACTTCATCAAGGATTGCTTGGAGGATAGGAGCATCAAGGCCAGCCACATTGCCACTACTGATCAGTTGGCTGACATTCTCACCATGGGAAGTCCAAGTTCCGGAGATGAGGGAGAAGATTGGGCTACAAAGCAGATCACCTCGATTACTTCAAAAAGACAAGGTGAGGGGGAGAATTGATAGATAAGTCTCTTGCTAAAACACTTGTATCTTACTTTTTCAAAGACTTTTACTTTCCTTGGCTTACAAGCCTAGTGTTAGTAATATGCTCAGCATCCACTTTAGTGGTTAGAATATGATGCAGCAAGTGAGAGTTCCTCTGTCTATAAAGGGTAATGGAGTGTCATTGTAAAAACTAAGCCATTACATTTTCTTAAATCCAAGTGACCAAGAGTCAAGCTGTCCTCTGATAATTCTCAAATATAAATCTGAAATTTATTTGGACCAACACAACAGTCCCACGTGTGTGTGGTAAGTGGCTAAGCATCGCGGAGCGCTTAGGCGGCGTTAAGCGTCAGTTAACAAATTTTCTTGACATCGTGGAAGCATGAGGGGCGCTTGCATGTCAAAAAGACGCTAGACCAGGCGCCGGCGCTTGGAACGTGCATCTCGTATAATCAGGAGCCGACGCTTGAAAGCTAGTTAAATATTAGCCTAAATAGGTCATGCACGCATTGCAAAGATAGACGCCCAAATAGGCTCCTATAATTATCAAAACATTTAAGCATCAGTAAAATGGTTGATTCCATTGTAGGCTAGGAGCCTTATACAGATGCTTAATGATGAATTTTTTTAAGCGGCCATATAAACATCTTTGCATTGTACGTGCCCTAACAAATAGGCACCACAATTAACGGAAGCTAATTGCGTAAATATGCTCCATCCAATCCATCTTTTATCTTTTTTATAGCTTTATTCCATAAACCAAACGCAGAACAAACATCTAGAGACATCTTCGTCCCCTCAACCAAACACAGAAACCTTCAACAGAACACAGAACAAGCATCTAGGAAACCTTCAACCAAACACGCATCTAGGTGTTTCCGTTCTTGTCCCCTTAACCAAACATAGAACAGAGACGTCCTCATCCCACAAAAGTGAACAAAAGTGAAATGAGTCTATACCGTCTCTCCTTGATCCCAAACCAAACACAAAGTGGTCCTATATCAAGTTGGATCACTACCATCAGACAACAGAAGTCAGGGGAATCAAAATTCACAAGAACGGAAACAGATTGCCTTCAAACTAAATATGCTACAGGCAAATAAGTACAGTCCAACTAGCTGGCAATTAATATAGCAGTAGCAATTATAAGAGTCGAAACTTCATCAGGCTCCCTAAGCCATAGATACCTACAGATACATAAACGGTACCGAATGACTTGCACAACATAACCACGGCACATAGATCTGAACCCACTTTGATGCATAGATAACCTACAGCCCAACAGCACGAACAGATGTCAAGTTAGAAGCAGCAAAACGATATCCAAAGCTTGTGCATCAGGTTAGCCTCTTCAGCCGCAGCCCAGCCAAGACGTCTTTAAACTTACGTTCCACACCGTTGCACAGAACCTCATACCCACTAAGCGATGTCTTGATACTAGCGAGCTCCGCATCTATTTTTTCCTTCTCCTTTGCAATCTTCTGGCTTTCCTGGCGAATGCGCCCAAGTTCTTGCTCAAGCTCTGCTGCAGCTATATCTTTTTCATCAAGCAGTGCACCAACTCGGGAGGACGAAGCTGTCTTCTCCACAAACTTCGAATCCAGCTTGCCAATTTGTACATGATAACTGGTGCGCTCAGATTTTATCTTGACCAAATCGGTCATGGCGCTCTGCATAAATTGCACACTAAATCCATTTGCCTCTAGATGGGAGATTGTCCTGATCTTGTCCTCGAACCATTCCATGCTGTTGTCTATGCTTGCTTCCATTGTAACCTTCACTAAGTCCGCGAATGACACCATCATACCTAATGCCATTCCTTCACGTAGTAATGGGGCATGTTCTTGGAGTGGAAGGAAATGAGGTTGTTGAGGAAGCTCCTTAAACACATGCATTGCTTCAACTAGATCCCACATAGGTGAGTTCTTGACGAACAAAGCCTGGTCCTCAAAAGGCTGTGGTGAAGGCAACAAGCTCTCAAAAGCAGAGCAGCTCCTCAATGGAGAACTGTCGATGATGCACTGTGAACTCCCAGCATTCTGTAAAACTGACCTCTCATCCACTTTCCCACGGGCTTGTTGAGCCGGACAATCAAGACATAGGATAGCTGTTTCCATGACATGGTTGCTTTCAGCTAATTTGGTAGCAGCATGGTCTGTGCACATGTCATCATTTCCCTTCGGTTCAATAAGGCTGTTGGTCGTACCAGTTGGCTCTTCATCAAATTGAGTATCATGTATGTTAGTACCTGCACACAAAAATCCAGTCATTAATCATTGGTCTGCAACTATCATGTATGTATGCCTTCAATTATGTAGCAAACTATGCGCATGGGTAGATTTTCCACAGTTCATACCTCTCCCATTATCCATTGATTTAAAGCCAGGAGGCACCATCGGTAACAGGTCCTGATTTGATAATTCAGTTATGTTCTGTGCATCCTCCAAAGTTCTATCAAGCTGTTTTTGAGTATCAGAATTCAGACACTCCAACTACATGCAGAATAGTACAAGGGTGAGAAGGTGATGAATAATATAAGTATTAGTTTGCAAAAGAATGTTCTTACTGCTAAGGGACATTCTTCCATTGGCTCTGCCAATTCCTTGCTTCCTCTCTGCTGGACAGTCCTAGTCACATCCAATGAGCTATTTGAACTGCACAGTTCTTTGGATCCTCTCCTGTTAGCCACTGCAGATTGTACGGCAACTGTTATTAGATTTTAATTACCACCTATAAAGATGAATGTGTTCCATAGAAAACACTTACATTTCTTAGAGGCAAGAACCTTTGTACTTGAACCCCTTTTTGTCCCTATTGACACCTAATATAGATTGACAAACAGAACAGAACAGAACAAAACACGTGAAAATGAATACAGAAAGGATGTTTTAAAAGCCAATCATATGTCTGTACCAGTCTATCTGGAGATAAAATAGTCTGGCCAGTCCCAGAGACACTCAAAGCTAAAACAATGTCCGGAGTAGAGAAATTCATGTTGCCCTTCAACTGAATCTGCACAAGCAAAAAGATCAACATTAACAGAAATAATAAATTATATGCAGGCATCCTTACTCCAGCTACAAAACATAAGGAATGGGACTCAAATTATTAGAGGGACCGACCTTTCCCTGAAGTCCTTGAATAGGGTGCATTTTCCCCGCTTTAATGTCCGATACACATTTCTTCACCCTGAGTGATTTGGCAGGGTTTTCCTGTTTGCGTGTGACAGCACTATTTCTGCGCGCTGAAGCCATTTTCTTATTTCTGGGCGCTGAAGCCATTTTCTTTCTTAGTTCAGTAATGGAAAGCATATCATGGCCACCAACACTTCTTCCAGAGACAGGTCCATTAAGCTCACCATCAGTAACAACCATATCAGACAGGATTTCTTGATTGTCCACTGGTGCTGAATGTCCTGGAGAAGCACAAAGGAGTCCGTTCATTGGCACCGAATTCACTATCCCATGTGAACCTTGAAGACTGTTCTTTTCAGAGACAAAAGAATTCGGTGAATGAGTGCTTTCTGGTGACTTGCAAAGAGCAGACAAAGGAATGTCCATCTCAGAGACTGAAGCATGTCCAGAACCTTCGGCTAATGTGCTCTTTCCTAGACTGTGTTCTTCATCACTGGATGACACCTCAACTGGTGACCTTGGACTATTACCAGACACAGACCGACGCCTTGAGTTAGCCCGTCTCTGCACAAGGAAATATTTAGAACAGATCATACAAGTTGAATGATAAGATGTTTTATTGCTATATGCTAAAATTTCAAAGAGATACCATTCTTTAGCAAAGTGCTATATACATATTGCATGCCAATAGTTAAAACAAATGTCTTAAACTCACAAAACAGCTGACAGCCAATAGGGTTAAACTTCATAGATACCCATAGTGAAATATTTTCCAGGGTCAAGATCTATTCATGATCAATAATACTATCTCCGTTTTTTTATAGGGCATGTTAAGTTCTAAAAAGTTAAAATTCAGAACTCTTGCCTAACAATCAGCCAAATTATATCCATGTTGTGTGTGCAAAAGTTGTACCACTGTATTCGTAGCCAACATATGTTTAGATACAACATTGAGTTTATAGCAATGACAATATTCAATCTAGTCATAAATAAGTGACAATATTCAATCAAAGTATAAATACGCCAGAAACAGAGTACTAGTAAATAGGATAATGCTTGAGTATCATTGAATCTATCACAAAATGTAATTCATGCTGAACAGCCCCCACCCCATTACCAACACTCCCCCAACAGCCACCACATGGGGATCCTATGATATTGCCCACCATCGTGAAATAAGGAATCAAAGTTAGGGATGAAAGCGGGCTAGCCCGTTAACCTGCATATAGGCTTAATTTTGTGGTTTACATGTGGTAAACCACAAAATTAAGCCTATATATGCGGATTCGTCAAACTAGCCCGCTTCCGTCACTGATCGATGTTTGCCTAAAAGTCAAACTATCATAAGTTTGACTGAGTTTATAGAAAATAAGAATAATATTTATGACATCAAATTAGCATCACTATCTAGAAAAGCCAAAACGTCTTATAATTTGGAATGGAGGGAGTAATACTTTTCTCCATAAACTTGGTCAGACTTAGGAAAATTTGACATGGGAGAACCTTCGATACTTATATTTCAGGACGGAAATAGTAATTTGGCATCCTTTATTCATCCTCCTGTGGCTCCCTGTATCTACACAACGCAATGCAGCTGCTCCATCACTGTGTACGAGGCGAGGCCACGTCACACCACCACCCATGAGCGAGCAGCAAATGAGGCAAGGCCACGCCTATGCTGTCATGCCACCACACAGCATTGGGATCGACAGCCTCAGACCCCCCTCGGCCCTCAGCTTAGCGGACACAAATCAGATAATGCCATGCAGGGCCGCAGTGCAGGTGATCTGGTTCACAAGGAGGGACAACTGTTGTCATCGGTGCAGGTGCTCAATGCCACATTGGCAAGAGCAAGCGCGAGGTATGCAGGTGATTCAGGTTCGTGGTGTGAAGTGTGTATGACTGCAGATGGAAGGTATTTGAAAGAAGGGGCACCGTGTTGTACCATGGCCCACAGGTGCAACGAGAATTGCCTGCTCATGTGCCTTGCAGGTAGGCAGTGGCTGAGCCAAAGCAATCCATGTCCATAAGTTCTCAATTATTCACTTCATCTCCTACACTTCTAATCAGTAATTACTTCTGCTGCTTCTTGGTTTCGATTCACTTTCTTTCAGAAGTTCTCTACTACTAGTTGATGTGTTTGTGTGACTTTTGAACTTGCGAACTGGTGCTGTGATGTGAACTGGTGCTGTGGACTGCTGCAGCCATGCAGTGAATTGGTGGTGTGGTGTGTGGTTTGATGCAGCCATACAGTGCTGTGAAGTGTGAACTGCTGCAGTCCAAGTATTGAGCGCAGTGGTGTGCTTCCTATGAGCTGTGACCCTTGAGATTGAGGTAGTGAGTGCTGTGTGTGAACTTGTGATTTGTGAACCTATGCTAAGACTGATATATAGGGTGAACTTGTGAACTCTAAATCAATGCGAGTTCTGTATCCTTCTGTTTCTGTTGAATTTCCGCCCATATATACTTGTTTACTTCTATCCGTATATCCCATGTCATCCCTGCTCCTGGATACTCTGTTCCAGCTCCCATTCCCATTCCTGGTGACAAAATGTGAACATAGAAATGATGAGTGGTTTTCCCACCCATTCCCGTCAGTTTTTATCCCTACTCCTAGAGGACCTTATGTAAACATGAGGTTGATGATACCCATATTCAGGGTCCTATCATACAAAATTCGCAGCCCAAACATGCAAAACACAAATGGAACAGCTTGTCTGAACTTAATCATGTGCCAAAAACTCCATCCTACCCATAAAACAAAAAAAAATTTGACAGACACAGGCACAAACTCAAGGAGAGGAAATATTGCCATTTGGCTGAAGCTGGAGCGTACTACAAATCATGTGAAGCACAGTATCCCTGTGTCAGTGATGGACTTAATTAGACTAGCTGTACTTATCTCAGACTTGTATTTCTAACAAATTTGTCTTTCTAAGAATAGCTATGGCCTACGGGCAATCATATTCATATATTACAACAAGACAATGAAGGAACTAAGATATGCAATAAAGTCAGCAAGGGCCAGTCCCAACAAATCAGCAAGGAACCATGTAGTATCTGCATCTCACAAGAGTACAACAGCAGACAATCAGAAATGAGCTAATAAAGACAGCTATGACAAACAGACAGATCTGTTGCAGTACCTTACGGGTCGCAATCTTCCATTGCTTGCCATTCCACTTATACTGTGGCTTGAGCAATGGCGCCACCTTGGTCACCAGCATTTCTGACTTTTTGGCAACAATACCGATCTCATACTCACCCTCGCCGAGGACCCTTCGCACCACACCTGGTGACCATGCCCCATCGCAGTAGGCCTCCACAGCAGCGCCAGGCTGGAGCTTGAACTCGCTCTCCCTTGGAGCATGCTCGACAGCCGGCCTGATGAACCACCAATGCAGGTACTCGGTGGCCTTCTCCGGCCCGCCCTCGCCCTCCTCCAGATCGAAGTACTCGACGACGTAGCTAAGGTCGTCGACGACGACCCTCACCGTGGCGAGGAACCAGGACTCGCCGTACGCGCTCCGTTGCCTCACCACCTCCACCTTGTCCCCGACCTCGTAGACCTTGACCGCGCGCTTGGGGCGGACAACCATCGCGACCTGGGAAGGGATCCAGTCGCCGTCGACGTAGTCGCGGCGGGGGCGGACGAGGCCGGGCGCGAACTCGATGACCTCGCGGGTGATGGGGAACGCGACGGTGACCCCGGCGGCGCCGGAGCCGGAGCCGGCGGGGGCGGACACGACGATGCCCGACCACCACCCCTCGTTGTGGAACGCCTCGACGATGTCGTGGGTCTGGAAGCGCGGCGGGGGCGACGGGGGCGGCGGAGGCGGGCGCGGGCGGATGTGGGACGGCGCGAAGGGCTCGGCCAGCACGCCTTCGTCGTCGTCGGCGAGGAGGTGCGCGTACTTGACGGTGTACCGCGCCGGGTGGCGGTACCCGCGGGCCGGCGTGAAGTCGAGCACGGTGGCCTCGAACCAGGACCCGTGGAAGCCGTCGTCGTCGACGCGGACCTCGACGTCGGTGCCGGGAGGCAGCGGCGCGGAAAGGTCCACCCCGCGGGGGGGCGAGGAATGGGGCCCGTCGGGCGACCCGGATGGCGACCGCGACGACGGCCGGGGCCTCTTCGAGGGCTTGCTCCGCCTCAGGCTCGGCGAGCGCCCGCGCCCGCGCCCGCGCCCCCTCTTGCTCCCGCGGGGGCGGCCGCGCCCCCTCCGTGCGCCGGCGGCGTCCGGCGGCGGGGCGCTGCCGGATGCGGCGGCGGCCATTGGGGATCGGAACGGGATTCGGGGGCGGGGTTTGGGGGAACTGGGGTTTTGGGTGGGAGGGTGGGATGGCCGCTATAGGCGTCGGGGTTAGGCTTTTGCGCGCTCGATGCAGGAGTGGTGGGCTCGACCGGCACGGGCGTAGATCTATGTCACCGACGGGTGGGCCGCCACGGACGCAACGGCAGGCGGACCCCGCGTGTAAGCTAGGCGTCACGGCCGTGCGCCGTTTCTGAGCAGGGTGTGTGTGTAAACGGCGCGGGGAAGCCGTTGCAACGCAGCTCACGCGGCTCAGTCAGGGCGCGGGAGCCACGGGTGCGAGGAGGGGGGCGTGAACCGCGAAGCGTGCTTTTGCGTTGCGTCGTGTGTGGTTTTTTTGTCGCGGCTCCACGTCCCTGCGGGAGACGAGGGATGTGGCGCATCGGTTATCGTGTCGTGGGGCCCACATAAGTGAAGCAGGGGCGTTACATCATCTGCGAAGAGTAGGTGACCGTTTGGCAGGTCCCTCATTATACGTGGGAAAGGGGGGAAATCCTGACTAGTTTCAAATTATTAAAAAATTGTCTAATTTTCGTAAAGATATAAAACTATATTAACAGTATCAAATAAATTTAAGATATATATATATTAATGGCATATCTAATTAATATACTTTCATATAATAGATATTTGTGCTTATTTTTTTATACAATCATCTGTAGTTTCTTCCAAAGAGCATCTCTAAGAGTTCCCTAAATTTCTTTCTAATCATTGGTTTTTAGCAAAATGAGAAAAAACTCCTCTCCATCAACTCCTAATCCATCCTCCTAATTTTTCGCGTAAAGTTATGCGCTTCCGAGTCGCACGTATCTTCTCTCTCGCGCGTGTTTGTGGTCACTCTCCACCATACGCCTCGACCCGCGTGGAGTAAGATCCCATCGCCTCATTAGGTGGGTCCCTCTTTCTCTATTTATTTTTCTCTTTTTTTGTTTTCTACTTTTTTTCTTTTTATGCATTAATATATCTATTTTACATGACTGTATATGTATTCATATACTAGTTGTAGATGTATAATATGATGTCGTGCACAATGTTTTTTTTTTCTTTTTTACCGTTATTCTCTGTTTTTCACATTTTCTCTTCTTCCAATCTAATTGAATCTTATGACCACGAATCCACGAAAATTATGATAAGAAGTTGCGGTAATAATCTGTCACGTAAAAAGTTATGCATATAAGTTGTGAGCATAACTTTGTAATTTTCAAATAATGGAAAGTTGTGAAAATTATTTTTTTCAAAAAAGTAATTTCAAAAAAAGTATGATGACAAATTATGTTGATAAGTTGTTCCGTAAAAAAGTTATGCATATAATTTGTTTGTATAACTTTGTAACTTTCAAAAATGAAAAATTATAAGTTCTTCCAAAAAAAAAGAAAAAATAGTTATGACAAAAAGTTGTGGTGATAAATTGTAACATAAAAAGTTATGCACATCAGTTATATGTATAACTTGGTGACTTTTAAAAAAAGAAAGAGTTAGGAATGATTTTTTTCCAAAAAAGGAAAGTCACAGGAGTTGTGAGATTGATCACTGGTTTTAGATCTAATCGTTCCCTAATTAGTGGAGTCGTAGATTTGGCAGAGATGTCGCCTCTTAAGGTAGTACCCCTCCAATTTGGACCCTATGGATATGCACCACCAGGTGGTCTGCTCCTCGCCCGGCAACTACTCTTCACACCGCCCTCACACAGATTATGTGCATGCCTTGGTGAGAAATTTCAATCTTTGACCCTCAATACGTGTGCCTCGCTATATTTGACACTCAATTCATACGCCTTTAAAAATTTTAACCTTGCACGTGCAAATTTTTTTGGATAAGAGGGATTTATCTCATTTTCTATCTCCAATACTCTCTCTCCTCTTTACTTGGGCATCGAAAAAAGACTAAATTACCCATGTACAGAATGAAGCCATGTCGCTCAGGGGTTCTGCGAGTTGCGAGTCGCAACTGTTCTGGCAACCATGAGGACTTCCAACCGCCAGACGCCGCGACCCGAGCAGGCTTCGGCGGCGTCCTCCACCAATCATCTCTCGCCGACGGACATCGGTCGCCCCTAGTCCTCCACCAACCTCGCTGTTGTTTAATTTGGTCCTGGTTAGCTGGAGCTTTGTAGCTGCAGCGTGCATCAGCAAGCTCAACCGATCAGGCTGATTATTTGGCTTGTATCAATACATTTGCTTAATAATAGATGCCCCTCTTTCCCATCTCAGTTCTTTGTTGATGCTCGACTAGTTGGTCAACCACCGACTAAATGAAATATGTCTGACTTTATTTGATACTTTTGTGTTTTTGTTAGATCACTACCAAGACCTCATTCAAGAGGCCCACCCAGGAGAAGGCTTATTTATTTTTATTCCTTTTTTATTCAATATTAATAATAACCACTCTTAAAACAATTTTGTAGATCTGAGTCTTTTGGGGCACGGTAATATCTGACACGTTAGACGGTGCTTCAAACGTGGAAAAATCATGGCGTGACAAGGCTAAACCTAAGAAAAATCATAACTTTTTCGTTATGACGTCGGATGAAGATGAATTTTATATGAAAATTGTAGATCTCCGTGAGATCTAAAACTCTGTAGTTTTGCGTTGTTTCACTTGAGGCCGTTAAGATGCTCAAAAGGATAATATAACATTTCAGTAGCATAATAATTGGTATTGGTGCTTGTCGCTTTAGAAAAATAATATCTTTTTTGGTATGGTGTCAAATAAAGATAATTTTTACATCAAAGTTGTAGTGCTCAATGAGATGTACAACTTTATAGTTTTGAGTTTTACAATTAAGGTCATTAAGAGGCTTGAAAATAATGTAAAATTTCGCAACATAATAATCGCTTACTAGTCGCATTAGAAAATAATATCGTCTTTATATGGTGTCAAATGAAGGTACTTTTTATATTTTTTAAGTATGTTAGCAATCTCAAATATAAAAACTCAAATTATAAAGTGTAGATTTCATTGAGAACTACAACTTTGATATAAAATTTATCTACGTTTGACACCATACAAAAACGATATTATTTCTCTAATGCAACAAGCATTAGTATGTGATTATTATGCTGCTAAAATTTTATATTATTTTTTGAGCATCTTGACGACCTCAAATGTAAAAACTCAAAACTACAAAGATGTAGATCTCATTGAGAGCTACAACTTTGATTTAAAAAATATCTTCATTTCACAGCATATAGAAAAAATATTATTTTTCTAACGCGACGAGCACTAGTATGCGATTATTATGCTCCTGAAATTTTATATTATTTTTTGAGCATTTTAACGTCTTCAGATAAAAAAAACTAAAAACTAGAAAGTTGTATATCTCATCGAGATCTAAAATTTTCATATAAAATTCATCTTCATAGGACGTTGTATCGAAAAATTATGATTTTACTAATATTCAGTCTTGTCACGCCACTCCTAGTGACTCGACAAAACAATACTGCCAATGGAAGTGACGTGACAAGGTTTTCCATATCGGAAACGCCGTCTAACGTGGTAAATGTTGCCGTGCCAATGCATTTGGTATGACAACATTATTTTGTCGAAACAGCGACACTGGCGCGACCAAAAGGGACATATCTGCAAAAAAAAAATAGGAGCAGTTATTATTAAAATATTGAATTGAATAAAAGGATTAAAAATATTAAAAAAATCCCCTAGGAGAAGGCAAAGATGTTTCCCAGAATATCATGAATTAATGTGTGATGGAGCAGTGAAAGAATTCTAGAGATCCCAATTATTAGCTTGGTGTATGTGTATTAGTGTAATTTGATTGTGGTTATCAGATTATCTATTGTTTCCTTATTTGGGACAGTGGTAGTTGTATAGGTGAAGTCGTAAAAAATGTGTTGACGCTTAATTAGGTCACACACTCGATAAAGGAGGTAGATCGCTCGATGTGGGCCTAACTGATTTTTAGATCGCTCAGCGCTAAGGGAATGTCCACACCTGGACCTTGTGCCTCTAGCGCTGAGCGCGATACGCAAGACATGTCGACGGAGCAGCCTCACTGAGAGCGCAATACGCAAGACACGCCAGTAAGATCTCTTGAGACCCAAAACCCTATATGCCCTAGAGGGACCCCGTTGGGGTGTGCAGCGGCTATGGGCTGCTTTAGCCGGCCTGGCCACTCTAGAGCTTCCCCGTCGTCGATCCACCATCCATGTAGCACCGACGAAGAATGAGGAGAAGTAGAGGAGAAGACAAGGTAAAAGAGAGGTAGTAGATTGATTTGTTGTGTTTTGTGTCAATTGGATAGATGGGAACTCAATCGGCCATGATCGTCTCATATATATAGAGGGGGTGGTCTTATCACAGTAGGAAACATCTCCAAGGCTTATTTTCTAAGTTTCCCATGAGTCAGAAGTTCTGATTTTCGCACAAAGCCAGCACCTCCAGGCGATCATCAGAAGTTCTGATTTCCGTGCAAAGCCAGCACTTCCAGGTGATAATCAAAAGTTCCAATAGGGGTCAAAAGTTCTGATTGGTCTTCGCCAATTATCAGTAGTATTGGTTTGGGTCGGTAGTCCCGATGTTGAGACATCTTCTTCAAAGCACAACTCTCTCATCTGGACTCTAAATTGAACATTCCATATATGTTTTTTTGATCATCTTGACGAGAGGAACATAGTGGTAAGGTTCATTTCTTATTTTGACAACTTCACGAAATGGACAATTTTGGTTGTCAACAATCATATACAAGTCGCCGCTGCAGCAGCCTCAAAGCTTCCATCTACACATGCTGCTGGTAAGAACACTCAGGTATGCAAAGATAAATAAAAAGTTCACCAACTCCCTTACTGGTATTTGTCTCCATATAATTTTGCTCATTCAAAGTTCATGCCTTCCTAGTTTATGTCATATGCTCTAGTTTGGGTGTTGTCACATAGGCCTGTGTGGCACACCCATAGGCTTTTTTGAATTAAGCATGGTGCTTAGGTTAAAACCATCTTCTTTAATCAAGC